TGCCTTCATCCCTGCCTGGCCAAAAATACTCAAGTCCTGGAAACTCTTTGGGACTCAGCATTTTCTCCAGGCTGAGAGAGTTGGGGTTGTTCAGCCTGGAGAAGAGAAGGCTCCGGGGAGACCTTCTAGCAGCCCTCCAGTACCTAAAGGGGCTACAAGAAAGCTGGAGAGAGAATTTTTGCAAGGGTATGGAGTGATAGGACAAGGGGCAATGGCTTTAAACTGAAAGAGGGAAGATTTAGATTAGGTATAAGAAATTCTTCCCTCTGAGGGTGGTGAAGCACTGGAACAGGTTGCCCAGAGGAGTTGTGGCTGCCCCATCCCTGGAAGTGTTCAAGGCCAGGTTAGATGAGGCTTTGAGCAATCTGGTCTAGTGAAAGGTGTCCCTGCCCATGGCAGGGGGGTTAGAACTAGATGATATTTGAGGTCCCTTCCAACCCAACCCATTCTATGATTCTATGATTTAAAGTCTCCCAGATGGATCATTAGCAGAACCACCAACCTGACTGTCAGAGCATCTCCTTAAAAGGCCAGTAAATGCTGTTAAAGCTGCGAAAAGGAAAAACAAAACTAAAGAAACCCTGCTGAGCAACACAAAGAACAAAAGCAAATGAAGCTGAAAAAGGTCTGAGTTCTAGCACACTCGTTCAATGCTATGGAGGCTGCTCACCTGCTACCAGGAGACAGCTTCAGAGCCACAAGATGGAAAAACAAATTGAGAAAAACCACAAAAACAAAACAAAACCAACCAAACAAAAAAAGGAGGTTAGCATAAAAGGAAGCTAGAACTGAAAGGCTGAAAGTGTGAGAAGCAGATGGGTCCCACCCCTCCCCAACACTGTCCAGAAAGGTTACCTGCCGCAAGGATGAGGAAGCATCTGCCCCCAAGGCCTGCCAGCCTGGTTCACAGGTGATCTGGATAGCCTTCCCAGGGATGAGACAAAGGAGCAGAGAGAGGAGAGCGGGTAACCCAGACTTTTAGGGTAGAGGAAGAGACAGACAGTGAAGGAAAAGGTTTAGAGAGACAAGCAAGAAAGGGAGGTAAAAAAAACATGACACAAAACAGAAGGCATAAAGAAAGGCTCAACTCCTCCCCCTTCCAGTGAACTAAGCATGCTGCTCAAGACATCGTGAGGCCACAAGTCACACCTTTTGACTTCAGCTTGAGCCTAAAAATGACAGAATTTCCGTTCCCTTTTTGCACCTCAATTTAAGATGGGGCGTGTTTTTTCCACAGAGCACCAACTGTCTGAATGCCATGTTGCCTTTCACCATCTCTCAAATAGGCCACTAAGGAATCTGAGAGACGAAAATTTAAAAATCAAAAAAAAAAACACCCCACCTTTGATATATTAAATTGTTAATCACTTTGGAAGCTGTAGCCCTGGGATATCGGCACCATGCGGAAGTTACCTACATAAAAAGAAATGACAGGTCCAAATCTTTAACAAGCACATCACTTACAAGAGCTGGCATTTCTCTAAAGATCATCAACATGAGCTTTGCTGAGACTGAGCCAAGAACAGCAAAATGAACTGCCCAGTAGGTAAAAGTCATCTCTGCTTACTGTAGGCAGAGGGCAACTTCTACAGAGTAGCCAGTGGTTCACCGAACTGGGCTCAGTCTGGAGATCCTCTGGCTCTGTTCTGGCTGGAGGAACGGTCAGCATTGGGAGAGGTCACAAGACCTCAAAAAGATTACAATTTTTTTTCTTCCTGGCCCTCAAACCAGCTTCTAGCTGACTGCATTTGACTTCAATTTCCAGTGTTTCTGGACTGTTGTCTGCTTGACCAAGAGAAACCAGTGCATCAGGTCTTCACAGTTACTGAACTGATTTTTTCCATTGGCTTTCTTTCTGACATAGCCTTTGTTCCTCTCTGCCTGTGAGCAGAGTTAAAGATCTTCATCTCTCGTTGCTATTCCTGTCTCAGGACAATGGCTATAGCCAACATTGCCTGAAGCATTTCATCCAAACTCTAGCAACAAGAGCGCTGCGAAGAAGCTGACAAGGCACATTCATTGAACCCACTGCCAAAAGCACTGGTTACCACTGTTGCCAGCACAGCCCTGTTTGGTGAGAACGTTAATTTCACAAGTAGCCCTTCTGCATACGTTCTCACACAACCCAAGAGACGAGGCACCTCTTGTGTTCCCTCAGTGATTCTTCATGACAGAGGCCGCAGCTTCCAAAAAAAAATCACTAGGGAGACATATTCCTCCACCACATTCTCACTCGTTTTCATTCTTCCTGACCAAGTGCCATAAGCTGCCTCCTTTTGGCTCCCCAGGACAGCTGTGTACACATCAGGCTAGTGGAAAATTCCCAGATGGAAAAGTCCTGCTAGCAGGAAGAAGTGTTTCTTATACCTGTGGTCACAGCAGGTGAGGGACTATCAAAGGATCACCAAAAGGAATTAAACAGGGTTTGTTTGAAAGATATTCACAAATGCTTTGTATGCTTCTCTGTCCAGTTCCTTCCAGTGAGGAAGGAATTACATATGATTAATTACATATAAGCTCTGCAAAGAAGAGGAAGAACATGCCTATCCTGGTTTCAGCTGGGACAGAGTCAGCTCTTCTTTTTAGCAGCCAGAAGAGCTCCGTGTTTTGGTTTTAGTCTGAGATTTGCTCTGAGAAGAACGCTGACAGCACACTGATGTTTGTAGTTGGCACTGAGGTCTCAAGGACTTTTCAGCTGCCGTGTTCTTGCCAGTGTGCAGGAGCACAACAGGATAGGGGGGAGCATAGCCAGGTTGGGGGGTCCACGACTTTCCTTATGATTTGTACTTAGACTTAGGATTGAGGGCCAAACTGGCCAATTATTATTCCACATCATGCAGCGTCACGCCCAGTATAAAAAAAATGAGGGTCAGCTGGAAAGAAGGGCCTTTGCTCTTCCGGAACTCTCACTTTCGGACTCTCAGAGTGCTCTCTCTCTCTCGGCCTCTATTTTCGGGCCTCTCGCTTGTCCGGGATTGTGGTGTCAGGACTTATCTGTTTAGGGATCGTTAGTTCAGGATGAGATTGCTCAAGGGGTGGTGAGCAATTACACCGTACATCACTCGTTTGTATATTTGGCGATGTGAAACTTAAGGACAGCCTTGGCTGCAGTGACCACGACACGGTGGAGTCCAAGATCCATGGGGCAGCAAGGAAACCATTCAGCAAACTCTGTACCCTAGACTTCAAGAAGGCGGACTTCGGCCTCTTCAAGGACTTGATGGGCAAAGTGCCGTGGGAGGCGACCCTGGAGGGACGAGGGGCCCAGGAAAGTTGGTCCACATTCAAGGAGCACCTCCTCCAAGCTCAGCAGAGGTGCATCCCGATGAAGAACAAGTTGGGCAAAAAGACCAGGAGGCCTGCGTGGATGAGCAAGGAGCTCCTGGACCAACTGAAAATGAAGAGGTTAGCCTATAGAGGGTGGAAGCGGAGA